TTTTTTTTTTTGGTTTTTCGAGACAGGGTTTCTCTGTGGCTTTGGAGGCTATCCTGGCACTTGCTCTTGTAGACCAGGCTGGTCTCAAACTCACAGAGATTGGCCCGCTTCTGCCTCCCGAGTGCTGGGAGGGGTGGACTACCATCTCCTTGCTGGGATTTTAAATTAAAAAACAAAACAAAAAACAGTGAAGCCTAGGAATACAGCTCAGGGTAGGACACTTGTCTAGTGTGTTCGAGGCCAGGTTCCACCCCCAGCTCTGCACACAGACGCTCAGGAGATGACCAGTGGGTGAACATTTGCTGCACAAGCAGAAGAACCCGAGTTCGACCCCTCCACACCCATGTAGAAAAAGCTGGGCACAACCATGCACACTTGTAACCCCAGTGATGTGGGGGATGGAGACAGGCAGATTCTAGGAGCTCACTGGCCAGCTAGCCGAACTGAAATGTTAAGCTTCAGTCGTGGTGAGAGACCCTGTCTCAAGGGAGTAAGGCAGAGAGTGAGAGAGTGGGGCACTGATAGTTGTCTCCAGCTTCTGCACCAGTGCCTACACACACACACACACACATACACACACGCATGCACGCACGCACGCTCGCGCGCCTTACACATATGTGTGTCTATACGATACAGTTCTTAAAATATGGAGCCAAAGATTGGTGACTTCTTGAGATGAGTCACCTTGAGGACCCTGACTTTCTCTACTATCCATACATGAAGACTATTGGTAACTAATGTATATCATACAGGCATCTTCAGAAAGACTCACAGTTGTGTAAGGACATGGTGATGCATGCTTATAATCCTGCCATTTGGGAGAGATGGAGTCAGGTGGATCAGGAATTCAAGGCCATCATTGGCTACACAGGAAATTTGATGCCAACCTGGGCTACATGAGGGTGGATGGGTACCTAGCTGAGTTAGCTGATTTTTCACCTAGAAGACATGAAGTCCTGGTTCAATGCATAGCACTACACAAATTGGATATAATTGAGGCTACATGAGATTCTATCTTAATCCCTAGGACCCTCTACATAGAAACTCAAGGTCTTGTACATGTTTGGCAAGGTTTCTACAATAGGCTACATCCATGGGGAAGTTTTCAAAATATCACAGGGGTAGGGGCATGACTCAGGAATATATCTTCTTCTTCTTCTTGGTTTTTCTTTTTTTTTAAAAGATTTTATTTATTTATTGTGTATACAACATTCTGCTTCCATGTATATCTGCACACCAGAAGAGGGCACCATATCACATTACACATGGTTGTGAGCCACCTTTTGTTGCTGGGAATTGAACTCAGGACGTCTGGAAGAACAACCAGTGCTCTTAACCTCTGAGCCATCTCTCCAGCCCCTCTTTTTGGCTTTTCAAGACAGGGTTTCTCTGTGTAGCCCTGGATGTACTAGAACTCTCTGTAGACCAGGCTGGCCTCAAACTCACAAAGATCCACCTGCATCTGCCTCCAGAGAGCTGGGATTAAAGGCGTGTGCCACCAATGCCTGGCGGGATATAGCTTCTTATTTACCATGCAAGAGGCTCAAAGTTCCATCTCTGCACTAATAATAGTAATAGTAATAATAATAACAACAAACAAACAGCAACAACAAAACGTTTCTGTGGTGATTCTCACGTGCAATTGCAGCTGAGAACCTCAAATAAACCTGAAGCAGCAAACAGGAATATCTGCTGAACCAGGCACAAAGCCTGCTGAAGCACAGAAAATCTGCTACTATCCAATTGTGCTGTTGTCTTGTTTTTAAGTCAATTTGCTCCTGTTCAATTTACTACTACAGGCCAAAAAAGAAGAGGAAGTTGCCTGCCCCACCTGCTACACTGACTTCACCGGTCTTTCCATTTGACCTGGATTTGTAGAAAAGAAGAGAGGAGAAGAATGGCTGAAATTTAGATAAAACTCTGCAATAGAGTCAGGTATGGTGGTAGAAACCTGTGATATTAGCACTCTGGAGGAGGAGGCAAGAAGATCTCAAGAAGGAGACCAGCATGGACCGCATACTGAGATGGAAAGAAGAAAGAAGGAAACAGAGTGGATAATTGGATTGGGTGGAGCTCGGTGGTGGAGCCCTTGCCAATCCTGTGTGAGGCCCTGGGTTCCATCCATAGCACCACACACATATATGAGAGGAATCTAGGTGAGGGGCTGGGGAGATGGCTCAGCAGTTAAGAGCACTGGCTACTCTTCCAGAGGACCAGAGTTCAATTCCCAGCACCCACATGGCAGCTCATAGTTGTAACTCTAGTCTAAGGGAATCTTACACCCATTTCTAACTTCCATTAGCACCAGGCTAACAAGTGGTATACATGCCAACATGCAGGCCAGACACCCATACACATAAAATTTTAAAAAGCCTATTTTAAAAAAAAAAACAAAACCTAGATGATATTCTATACAGTTGTCCAAAGGATGAAGGTATACAGCTAAACAGTGTGGCTCACCTAATGCCACAACACACAATTAAATGCAGGCCGTTTGGTATATAGCCTGATCCCCAAATAGCTGATGGGAATCAATACCTACCCTTCCCATCTCTCCATACTATGCCTAGAACTGGCCCTTGACTCTACTGCTTGTCTCTGAACTGCTTTCCCAACAGGTCCCAGTACATATCCGCCGGTGGAAGGCTGTACCGTTGGGACCTCCGGATCCTACCCAACCCACTTCCCAATAATCTCACCAAGACCTGGCCCTGCCCAAATGTTCTGCCTCACTACCAGGAGATGGCCCTGAAACTGGTTCGGCTGCCCAGTGTGCCCCTGAACGAAGACCTTGTGAAGAATTACCAAGCCCTGTTAGAGAACCGGGTTGCCAAGCCCCTCCATTACCTGTCCAAGGCAAAACCTGCCAAAACATCAAAGGGACAGAAGAAAAGAAGACCTGGGCATTTCTAAAAGAGCCTCCAGATGGGAGGAGACCAGAGTGGGCCTCGGGGTAGGCAGCCTAGCCTCCTTCAGCAAGAAGCCTGAGGAGGCTGAGGACTCTAGCTTCTAGAGAATAACCCTTTCACCAGCCCCCAGCCTCAAACCACCTCTGTGTCAGGCTCCTGGAGACATTACTGAAGCTCTGAACTGTTCTGTGTTTTCCTTGGCGGACTCATAGTTATATGGGAGAACTGGGGCAGAGAGGGGGTAGGGCCGCTAGAATTTCTGGGCTGAGAGAAACCGTCTCAAAAAAACAAAAAAAAAAATTAGAATAAGGAATGTTGAGATGTGTGGTGTGCGTGTGTGCACAAGGGAGGGTGCACATGTGTGCGTGTGAGTGTGTGTGTGTGAGTGTGTGTGTGTGTGTGTGTGTGGAAGAATGGTAAGAAATTTGGGTAAGGAATATAGCTCAGTCGCAGAGCACTTGCCTAGCAAGAGTGAGGTCCTAAGTTCAATTCCCATCACACATACAAAAAAAAAAAAAAAAAAAATGTCTCTACTCTCAGAACCAATTCACAATAACACTGGGGTTGGTTAGGGGACAGAAAACCTCTTCGGCAAAAGAAAAAATAACCTCAATACCATCTCCTCTGTGGACTATTTGATGTCTGGACAAACACCAGACACAGTCGCCGTAGTACAACTATGCAGCAATTGTAGTATTGCTTGTCTCGTAGTATTGCTTGTCTCCCTTCAGAATTTGGTCGCAGAGGAAGGCAGCTGTTCCTTAGCAGGACAAGAGAGGAATAAGTAGAGATTCTAGGTGAAAGGTGAAGGAGGCACTGAGGTCCTTGTGCTCACAGATAAGCACCAGGGGAACCAGGAATGTTAAACAAACAGGCTTGTCTCTTCAAAGGGAGAATGGTATAACCTGTTTTCTGCCCAGAAGGCTGGCTAATAGCCTTGTGACCTTTGTGCTATCTGTGTGACTGAGACCACACCAGATCTTCCTGCCACCACCACCACCAGCTTTTCCCACAGATTCTTATGAACTTGTTTTTCTCAATCTGTGGAACCTATCTTTATGGAAGATGTCACTTGTATTTTACAGAGAGGTTTTGATGTAGTCATTTCTTAAGCTTTGTTGTGCACATGGGATTGAGTTAATTATCACCAGAAAAATGTTCACCAAATTGTGCTGTGCTTAAATCTGCCTAAAATAAACTACTCGGGGTCAGACTCCCGAAGTTTGAACCAACACTGGCTACTGAGTTGTGTTGAACCAAACTACCTTGTTGCCTTCCAAAAATGGTTACTCTGCAGCCCCTGGTGGTCCTTGGACCTGAGCTGCTGTTGACTCCAAAGGCCTTAGCATTGGCTCTGGGGATCAGAGACAAAGCAATAGTCAGGTATTTTCTCTGACTGGGGTACAGGTAGCAGGAGTCCAAGGCCTGATGAAGAGGGCCAGGATGAGTGGCTAGGGGGAAATGAGATGGTGGGGCCCTCTCTAGCCTTCTCCTGTAACATCCTCAAGTGGGTGGCCTGCCTCCAGCTGGACTTCTGCATTTTAGCCCACTAATCTGTCTGCTTCTTCCTCCCCCCCCCCAAACATTTTATTTTTACTTATGAGTTTGTGTGAGGGTTTGTGCACATACATTTTATTTTTACTTATGAGTTTGTGTGAGGGTTTGTGCACATACATTTTATTTTTACTTATGAGTTTGTGTGAGGGTTTGTGCACATACATTTTATTTTTACTTATGTGTTTGTGTGAGGGTTTGTGCACATACATTTAGATGCCCAAAGAGCCCAGAAGAGGAGCTGGAGTAACAGGCAGTTGTGAACTGCCTGATATGGGTGCTGAGAACTGAACTCGAGTCTTCTAGGAGAGGACCAAGCACCCTTAACTGCTGAGCCATCTCTCTAAGCCCCTCATTCTTTTTTTTTTTTTTTTTTTTTTTTTTTTTTTTTTTTTTTTTTTTTTTTTTTTTTGGAGGAGTGTTTTGTTAGGGTTTCTATGTGTAGCTTTGGAGCCTATCCTGGCACTTGCTCTGGAGCCCAGGTTGACCTCGAACTCACAGAGATCCGCCTGCCTCTGCCTCCTGAGTGCTGGGATTAAAGGCGTGCGCCACCAACGCCCGGCTTCTTAGCCCCTCATTCTCTTACTTTTTTTTTTTAAAGCCCCCAAAGGTACTTGGAACTTGAGACACCATAGAGTTTAGCTGGCTTTGACTCAAACACTCACCCGCTGTGAGACCCTTGGGAAAGAAACTGCTCCTGTCTTGTAGGAGGCTTTCTTGAGTCACCAACCCCCAAATCATGATACGAAGACTTATTATTATGAATGTGCAGCCTTAGCTTAGGCTTGTTTCTAGCTAGCCTTTTTTTTTTTAACCTAAATTATCTCATTCCTATTAACCTATGTGCTGCCCCCAGGCTTGTTTACCTCATTGATGTACTGTCCATCCTGCTTTCCTACTTCCTCCGTGTCTGTTTATCTGTCTCCCAGCTGCCTGGCTCCATTTTTCTCTCCTCTCACAAGCCCCCCCATCTATCCTCTACTACCTGGCTATTTGGTCTTTCAGTTTTTTATTAGACCAATCAGGTGCCTTAGGCAGACAAAGTGAAACAACAACACTCTTTGCATAGTTAAATAAATGCAACATAAACAAAAACAATGCTTCACATAGTTAAACAAGTATTCTGCAATACATCTTTACATAGTTAAACAAATATTCTGCAACACATCTTTACATAGTTAAACAAAATCCAGTACCCTCTGGAATTTGGGTTTGTTTTCTGCACAATGGAAAACACTAGGCTGTAAATACCCGGGATAAAGAAAATAATGTAAGTGAGGTTCTTGCCAAGCACTAGCATACTGTAGGCCTTCTAAACGAATCTGTCCATCATCGTCCACAGAATAAAGCAACTATTATCCACTCATAACAAGGAGTGGTGTACAGATAGATGCTTTGATAGAGATGCCACTGACAAACACCTGCCAAGCAAAAGAAGCTTGGCACCAGAGACTACACAACATAGAAGGTCCTGGGATAGGCAAATTTACAGAAAAAATAGAAGAGGCACCAGGGGCTTGTGGGAGGCGGCAGGAGTTCTTGTTTAATGATCACAGAATTCCTATTGGGCCAATGAAGAAATTCTGTAATGGGACAGTGGTGATGGTGTTATAACTCGGTGATTGTGGCTAATGCTCCTGACTTACATGTTGCGTCCACCCTTGACCAGCAAGAATGACGCAACACCGAGGAACCTTCTTCTCACAGTTTATTCGGGAACCTTGCTTTACATGGAATGGCGGGGAGAGGAAGACAGGGCCTGATATAGTCTACATCTACCAATCACCTAACCCTACGTGGCACGCCAGGATAGGTTGTCTCCAAGCAGATACATGGCCTTTACCAAAATAGGAGTAGTTTACCACACAGAGCACTCGCTGTCGGGCTGGCGGAAGGTGGAAACCGGCGCCATCTTTTGGGCGCAGTACTCTGCAGCTCCCTACAGTTCCCCCTTTTGGTTTTAATATTATAGGAGTAGCAGTATCTATCTGTTGTCAGAGTTCAGTCATCTCTGTCTTAGGTTCAACCCCAGTGTCCCTATCTTACCCGTCAAAGAGTCACTGTGTCGCCCTCACAGGCTCATGTCTTAGGTTGAAGGGAACACATGTATGCTTATTCGCTCAGCATGAGGGTAGGTGCCCGTCATTGAGCATGACTGATTCAGATACGCATCACTCACTCAGCAAGGGCGAGACAGACACCTATTTGTCTGTCAGCATGGATAACCATGCTTGAGGGGACTGTCCTGCTTCCACAGCAGCAAAGGCCTGTACCAACATAGCAGCTTGGGATTTTTGCGACTTCCTGATCCTGCATAGGCACCACAAGCAAACAAAAATGGCTAACAGCATCATGGAAAACATAACCCCTATTCCAGCCCATTCCTTAACTAAACTAAAGGCTTG